CATGGGCTCAGCCCGCCGAGCAGTCCCCTCTGCGGAGTGTCTGGGGAACAACACCGCTGTTAGAGGCAGCACACGATTAACTACAAGGCAGTCTCTTAACAACCACAGACTGCCTTGACAGGTATCTGTCCCTGTATTCTCCTACCCCAGCAGTCTGGATTTCGACGGCCACTCGACAGCCAGTAGCCGCTAGCACTTAGTAAGACACAGTGAAAAGCATGGCCGTGAGGTTTGGGGTGGAGAACGCAGGTTGTACAGACATGCTGGATTCCTTACTGCCTGAACCCACTCCCCTCTGACAGGGCCTCACTGAATTATCTAAACTATGTTTAGCTACCTTTTCCCCCCAGAAGCCTTCTCCAAGTTCAGCGTTTCCCCTCAAACACTTCACAGACATCCTCCTGCTGCCTCCCCAATCCCACCATCCAAGTTAAATACAGACCTTCTCGGGGGTGACATAGAGAAGCTTGATTACAGGGTCTTTCTTGGACAGCTGCATGTATATTTTCGAGGCGTCAGCATCCGTTCTGTCACCGGTCAGGTATGTTGCAGCTATCTAGGAAAAAGAAAACACTGAGCCTGAGCAGGTGCGAAAGAGAACATCCTCCGACCCTGTCACAAAGCAGGTTAGAGGTACACGCGTCTGCTGCACGCAACCACGCCGCCTTCCGTGCTGCTGCCTGCAGCTCCAGACAGCACCGGGAGCCCCGCCGCGCTGCAGACAGCACAGAAGTTTTCTAGGGGTAAAACCGCAAGACTGAGCCAAACTATTCTTCTGCTCCCAATTCCAGCAGCAGTTCAACCTGAAAGTGCAGCTTCCTACTCACGCTGAATACTAACAAAGGAATTGGATCCTAAGGACAATGACGTAAGGTAGGTCAGGCCAGGAGAGCCAGTTCTGCCCGCCTGCTCTTCCTCTCGCAAGGGGCAGCTGCAACTCTGCAGAGGAAACTCCTTCCACAGCAGCACCCCCAGTTTAACCTGCTCTTGCAGCCACGGCACCCCCCGCAGCAGAAAGGGCGAAGAGCCTGGCCACAGCGTAGCGCTGCGCGACAGCCACTCGATGCCCAACAACCCTTCGAGGGCCCCGTCTAGTCAGAGCAGCAAAAACCGCACCCGAGAAGGATCTGTCTGAGCTTCAACACCCTGCACCCCAGCCCCTTCGGTCTCACCCCCCAAACCATCCATTCTTGCCCTAAAACATGTTATCCACCGTTGTCTCCCCCGTCTCTCAACCTCAGTAACACACTAAGGGTGGAAAAGGCCCTTCGCCGAGGCCAAAGCCGTTCGAAGTGGACACAGGCACCTCCTGAGCCCTTTTTCCTTCTCCCCGCGCAGGGCTTCTCCAGGGACGCTGCCCACCTGGCAACCTCCTGACCCGGGCGCTGTTAGCCCTGGCTGCCGTAGAGCCGGCCTGCCCCGCCTTCGGTGTCGGAGTCCGGCATCTGCACTTGAAACTACGCTCCCAAACCCACGCGCGCACGAGCGTCGTTCAGCAGTCAGACTGCCGGGATATTCCGGTCCGTCCAACCCGGCGCTTCCTCGACAACTTCCTGCGTCTTTTCCAGCTCCATCTAAGCTTTTTCTGCAGTTTGTTTTTTTTCTGCAGCTTTTTCTTGCAGTTTTCTGCAGAAACAGGATTTGCTGTGAAAGCTCAGAGCTGCAGTTTCACGGAATGAAGCCATTTGCCCTTACATCCAGAGTCTTCAGCTTCTGCACTTGATCTATTATCAGCGACCTCAGTGGAGAGATGACAACAGTGACCCCGGCAGAGACGCACGCTGGCAGCTGGTAGCACAAGCTTTTGCCACCTCCTGCAAAACAGAGCACACAAAGGGTCGGTAGCAAGAGGAAAGGGAGACAGCACAGGGGAGGAGCGGAAGAGGAGGGAAGACCTATGCCCTACTTCCCAGCACTGCTGGAAACAGCACACTCGTAGCAACAACTGCCACCGGTGCGAGACCTGGAGGCACCTACGGATCCCAAACACCATGGAAGGCAGGAAGTCAACCACCTCATTCAAAACACCGCAGCGCGCACACTACTCCAGGAACCCTGCAGCCACGGAATTCCAACCCCTCCCGAAGGCAGAGAGGAAAGCTTGCCACGGGCCTTGGGAGAGCAGCTCCCGGCATTTCGCTCTCCGCAGCTGCCGCTGGCGGGGGACAAGACCGGTGGGCATGAGGACGAAGCAGTCTTCGCCCAGCAGAGCGGCGTTGATGGCCTCCAGCTGATTCGTCCGGAAGAAGTGCAGACCAAACTTCTTGTGGAACACGTTCACCATTTCTTGCGAGTGGGAGAATGTCGTACCCCTGAAGCGCTCGAGCGCAGGGTCGCGAACCGGCGGCTCTAGAAAAGAAAGCGTGCTCGGGAGTCACAGCGCCGGGTTCTGCTGTCCCTCCTGCAGCCGGACACCGCTCCTGCGGCCGTCGGCCCCAGACACCCCCAAACCACCCCCTACTAGGGAAAATCACCCGCCACGG